GCCGAAGGTGATCTTTTTGTGATGAATTTCCCATGTGTTCTTTGAGATTCTTGTATTTGAGTGTCTAGATCTCTAGCAAAGCCAGGAAGTTTTCGTTGATTGTTCCCTCAGATATGTTTTCCAAATGGTTAGATTTCTCTTCTTCCCTGGAAACAGCAATTATTCTTAGGTTTGGACATTTAACACAGTCCCAAACTTAGAGGCTTTGTTCATATTGAGCAGATCATGAGGTCAGGAGATCGAGACCATCCTGGCTAACATGGTGGAAGCCTGTCTCTATTAAAAATTAAAAAAAAATTAGCCGGGTGTGGTGGCAGGCACCTATAATCCCAGTTCCTCAGGAGGCTGAGGCAGGAGAAGGGCCTGAACCTGGGAGGCAGACCTTGTAGTGAGCGGAGATCATGCCACTGCACTCCAGCCTGGGCGACAGAGTGAGACTCTGTCTCAAAAAAAAAAAAAGTTATATTTTCTTTGTCTTTGATGGGTTGGGCTAATTTGAAAGCCTTGTCTTAAGCTCTGAAGTTCTTTCTTCAGCTTGTTCGATTCTATTGCTGAGATTTTCCAGTGCATTTTGCATTTCTCTAAGTTTGTACTTGATTTCCAGAACTTATGATTGTTTTTCATTTATGCTATCTATTTCACTGAAGAAGGTTTCTTTCATATCCTGTATTATGTTTTTTCATTTTGTTAGTTGGACTTCAGCTTTCTCTGGTGCCTCCTTGATTAGCTTAATAATTTACCTGGATTCTTTTTCTGGCAATCAGAGATTTCTTCTTGGTTTGGATCCATTGCTGGTGAGGTAATATGATCTTTTGGGGGTGTTAAATAACCTTGTTTTATCCTGTTATCAGAATTGTTTTTCTGGTTCCTTCTCATTTGGGTAGACTACGTCAGAGGGAAGATCTGGGATTCAAGGGCTGCTGTTCAGATTCTTTTCTCCAATGGGGTGCTCCCTTGATGTGGCTTCCCTTAGGTATGTGGCTTCCTGGGGACCAAACCGTAGTGATTGTGTTTGCTCTTCTGGGTCCAGCCACCCAGTGAAGCTACAGGCTCTGAGCTGGTGCTGGGGGGTGTCTGCAGAGTCCTGTGATGTGACTTTTGTCATGGTGTTTAAGGCTATATAAAGTGTATGTAGGAGAGTGTTTTGCAATCACCAGCTCAGTGAGAAGAGTGGCGTATCTTTCCAATATAACTTTATAAACCTAGTAAGTCTCCTTAGAAAAAACACAAGTGTTCGTTCTTCCTCCGATTCATTTCTGGCGGGGAATAATAATTTCATGCATTAGTATGCCATGGAAAAAATGAGCACGGAATTTTGTAATTTATCAAAAATCATATATTAGCACCTTCTTTTTAAAAACATGCTACACTGAATTTCATCTGGGTACATAGCATTTTTGTGTCCTGGAAAGAAAATGATCAATTATTAATATTCTCTGGTACTGCTTGTTTCTTGGAATCTGTTTGGTTCTTTGCAGGACTGGACTAAGCTCACAGATACCATTTTTATCATCAAATTATATAAGAAATCATCATAACTCCTGATTTAAAGTATGGTTTCATTATTTTTCTTTGGTTCAATATTTCGAGATGGTAAACGTATGTTATTATCATTTCAAATCCTGCTTTAGAATGGAAATAGTAGTTTCCACGACCATACATCCTGGATCCACTCACGCGGCGCGCCATTCCATGGTCTGGTGTACGAACACTTGGTGGTGATTTTTATGTACAGTTTCTATGCCTGCTTCTTCTTGCCATATTGCTCTTTTCAGCTGATTAATTATTGCTTAGTCTCACTTTTTAATGTACTTTCCATGTTTTTGTTTTGTTTTGTTTTTTCCATGGGGGAGGTTATTTGCCCTTTTTATCACATTTTCCCCATCTCTATCCATTCTTCACCTAGGCTTTCTCGCCATCCGAGGCTTGGCCCTAGCCCTGTGCGGCTTCCCTCGCGGCTGCGGACCCTCTGCCTGCGCCCAGCCCAGCCACAATGGGGACTGCTCAGGTACAGTGTGATCTTGCTCTTGCTTCCTTTGTGTGTCCGTCCTGCGGTCCTTACCCAGCATTTGCTTCCTGCCTGCTGTGATGGGCGCTCCACCTGGGGAGGGGGCACAGGGATGACAGGGGCCTGGCCAGACTTGGAAAGAGCCAGGCAGCCAGGCGTGGTAAGGCCGAGGGGTGAGTGTTCCTGGAGCAGAAGCAGGAGAGGCTGCGGACACTGCGCACAGCTTCCGCTGGATGTTTCTCTGTTCAAACGGAGCTGTGTTTACAAACTTCTCCTGTGCACAGTGTTTGTTGCTCTGGTGTCATTGGCAGTGGTGACAGAATGTTGAGAAATTCGGGAGGCCTGATGGAGGGTAGGAGCTGGGCCGTGTCACTGCCTGTGCTCCGAATGAATCCGTGCATTCACCGAGAGTACGCGTGACTGCAGATTGTCCCCAGATACTGCCAGAATGGAGTTTTTCAATAGCAGTGTGAACTGTTTTCCAGTGGCTTTCCAAGAGCTTTCCTGTGGAAGCTGGTGGTATGTGGGGAAACAGGAGTGCACGGCCACAGGCCTGGGCATGGTGAGACGGGACACAGCCTTCAGACAACAGCATCCTGGGGCTGTGGATACTACAGTGACCGCTGCCGGGTGCTGCAGGGACTGTCCAGGGAGCCGTGCCCACCTCCTGCAGTCCCCAGACCCACAAGAGCATATTCGAGAGGAGGGTTTTGTCAGTTTACCTGCTGCAGTGCCAGTGGGTGAAGCACACGGTCACGGAGGCGGCATTTCACGTGATTTGTCGAAGGGAAGAGAGGATTATATATAATACAATCTTATTTCTTATTCCAGAAGTGTTTTGCACTGATGGAAATGTCTAAATTTCAGGGGGGCCATGTTGCTGCCGCTGCCCTGTCATCTCCTTCTGTTTCTTTCCTTCTTTTACGTCTCACTTGGTGGCAGCTTCACACGTTCTGGCTCAGGGTTCCGATACTTTCTGTACCTACTTGGTGGCCTCAGAAGATGGTGTTGACTTCAGGTTGCCAGACCAAATTGCCACCCCAGGAACAGGCAGCTCTTGTTCTGGGATTTTGGGAGCTCTGTGTACAGCTTCTGAGGAGTTGTAAGGCGAGCTTGAATTCATTATTATTTTTTGATATCTGCTTTCCCCTCTGATCAGAAAAGACAGTCCACAGTATGCTCGTCAACTCTCCACTGAAACTCCCTGTAACCAGCTAGGGGCAATTGCTTATTTGTCCTGTGAGTTAGTTAGGGTGCTTGATGGCCAAGAAAAGACTCACTCTGGTGGGTTTAAGCAGAAGAAAACTTGTTAAAAAGGAAATCAGGCATCCCATAGACCCTGGACCTCCGTCAGCTCCAGCAGTGTGGGGCTCAACAGGAGACCCCGGAGAGCTCTGCACAGACCCCTTCCTGGGACACGCACCCCAGCAGGGATGTGTGGGTGTCAGGATACAGCTATGGCGCCTGCCTCCAGCTGCCAGAGATGTCGATCAAAACGTTTTTGTTGATGTTTGTTTTCGTTTTGTCTTGCACTTTGGAAAGGGGTCATTTGCAGCACGGGGAGCTGTCAGAAGTGCAGGGAGGCCATTTGGGAGCCTGTGGCAGCCAGGACCGGGGAGGCCCAGAGTCTGCGGCCTGGGTCCATCCACCCAGGCTGTCCTCTTGTTCTCTTGTTGTGTGATGTCAACGGCAGCTCCTGTGAGACACAGCTATCCCTTATAAGATGGGCTCCCACTTAGCCTTATCCCAAAGGGGAAGTGAGTTGCATTTGTCATGTCCCCTAACTCCTAAAGGATCCTGGGACAACATTCCTTCTTCTTTCCTTTCTTCTTACTCCTCCTCTTCCTTTTTCCTTCTTCCTTCTTTCTTCTTTTCTCCCGCTGTCACTCAGGCTGGAATGCAGTGGTACCATCATGGCTCACTGCAGCCTCAACCTCCTGGGCTCAGGTGATCCTCTCACCTCTGCCTCCTGAGTAGCTGGGCCTACAAGTACTTGCCACCATGCCTGGCTAATTTTTGTAGTTTTTGTAGAGAAGGGGTTTTGCCACGTTGCGCAGGCTGGTCTTGAACTCCTGGGCTCAAACGATGTCTTCGGCCTCCCACAGTGCTGGAATTGCAGGTGTGAGCCCACCATGCCCGGGCGCATTCCTTCTTCTTTCTCTGGGTCAGCACAGCCCCTCTCGATTTAGATGCTGCCAGGGTTCCCTGCAGGAAATGAGGGAGCGTGCTGGCTTAGTTTTGATGTATAAGTATCTACATGACACAGCAGTGTTACGGGCAGCCTTTATGGTTTGAGGACCCGGTGTTCATGACTCCTGTCCCCACCCCCACCTGTGTTCCCCTTGTCCTGGTCCCAGTCCTGGCTCCGGGAGCTTTCCCTCTGGTGAAGACGACTGCTGACCTCCTGGTGGTTCCTTCTGTGTGGGGTCACTGGGGTCACTGCCATCCTCTGCAAGGCTTGGTAAGTGTGGTAGAACCAGCGATTCAGAGGACCCCGGTTCTGGACACGCTGCCCGCATCAGCAGCAGCAGAGGCTCTCCTGCACCCCAGGGACGTGGTCACACCCACTTCCTTTCTGCCCCCTGGTCTGGTGTCACAGGCAGCTCAGCCTCCAGCTGCAATTCATGGAGCATCCCGCATGTCCCCTGGCACCTCACTCCCTGAGGGGACATGGAAGCCGCAGGGCATCAGGGGACAGGAGACAGAGGTTTTGAGAGGGGCCGCTCACCTCCGTGGCAGTCTCTGGAGCGATGTCTCGATGACTTCTGGCTGCGGGACAAGCAGCCCCCTGTGTTGGCTCCAGGTGCGAGTGAGATTCCCACCACATCCTGCAGGAGCCGGCTTGAGAGACCCCCAGAACTCACTGTGGACCCGGCCAAAGGAGGGTTCTTCCTCTGCCCTCACTGTCCCCAAAATGACCCCACAGAACCGTCTGCAGGGTCTCTGCTACTGTACGGCTGTCAGGACAGATACGTGCCCTCGACGCCTGAGACCCACGTGCCTGTGGTTC